GCACTATTGTTCCTATCATTTACCCGATAGATCCCAAACCTGTATGATTTGTTTGTATTTAGAAGTCTAAAACAGAACTTCCTTCAGAGCTCAGATTTTACAAGATACGTTTACTAAAATATTTTCTTTCATTTTTACATTTGATCTTTTCTTATAGGTTTTCTGTGAATTTGATTGGGAACTTGATGAACTTGAGGTAACCTACTAATCGTTTGTCATCCATTCATCCTACTGTTTGTGATAAGTCTGGCCACTTGCCGGGTTAACAATGTGGACTGTCAGGAAGTCACCTAAATGTGATTTTATTTTAATCAAATTTGTAATAGTGCCATGTAATACCTGCTTCAGGTATTCTTTAGTAAAAGAGTCAATTGCTAGTATATACTTAATTGTTTATGTTGAAATTGTAAAAGGTTAAAGGTCTTGTGGTCGCTATCCTCAACTTACCTGGTTAATAATGGGATAAACTCGATAGTGCTTGTTGGCCTAGCTGGTTTTCTGAATAGTCTTGACATCAAAGCTTTTTGAGAAGGAGCTCATTATGGCCTAACAAGCTTATAAGGAAAAAGCATTTTTGAGAGCCTCTAACAAAAAAGCATTTTTATCCGCTGTTTATATTTGACGTTTTTAGCGTATAATTCTTCGAATCCAGTAGATTATTGAGCCAAACAAAAACATAAAAATGAACCGATGTATCTGTTGTTATAGGGTACACCTTGTCCACATCAGAAACCTTATCCTTGATTGTAAATATTGCAGGAATTCACAGACAAACTTATTGAAGAAGAGGAGTTGTCCACAGATCAAAAAGATGCATTCAAGGTAAACGTTTCTTTGCAATTTGCATGCTATAGTTTCTTTATTTTTACTCTATATAGGCTTTTATGTTAAATGGGAGATTTTTCCTTTCTCCGTAAAGGTAATAACAAAAAGAGGAAGCTGAGTTCATGTTCAAGATGAAAGAGCTTTCAAAATTGGGGAAATCTTGAGTATTTTTTTAATTTTCCAGGTCTTTTTTAGTGCAAAGTTTTCACATTCGGAGAATGGAATATAGACAAAATGAAAGTGGAATTGGAAAGAGTTTTCCATGCGAAATTGGCCCTACACATTTTTTGTGATCTTGGAAATTGATTTTAAAATAGTTCCCTTATGTTTTCATTGTATATCAGGACTTTGTAAAGGAAAAGGTCCGTGAAGCCAAAAAGGCGAACCGTGAGGTATTTGGTTAAATGTTCTTGCGAACCTCACCTCTCATATTTTCAAAGAGAACATTATATCTGGTTTGTCTCATTGCACTGATCAGAATTTTGATTTTGTACCACAGGCAAGGGAAGCCCGGAGAAAGGCCATAGCAGAAATGAGTGAGGAAACAAAAGCTGCATTTGAAAGGATGGTATTCTACAAGTTTTATCCCGTCGACTCACCTGATGCTCCTGATGTATCAAAAGTGAAGGTCAGATTCCTGATTTCAACTTTTCTTTGTATGACATTTATCGACAACATAAAGTTGGGAGCATGTAAAGACTTGTTTCTCTAGAAAAAAACATTAACTGAAAAAGATTTAAATAGTACTTGATATTATGATTTGCCCAAAGGCTAGCTGACACTATTCCTCCTGGAGCTTTTGAGCCATAAAAATGCTTTTTCTGACAATAACTTGATGTGTGTAATAGTTTCCCAGATCAGTTTTACAAATGTGACTTTATCTTTGGATGTGGTATATTGTCTTTTTGGTAAAAAATCTAAACTGATACTAAGTTAATGAAGTGATTATCATCTAATCTTACATGAACAGTCTTAAAATCATCTAATTTTGCTCTGTGCTTCAGTCTCCATTCATCAACCGGTACTATGGGAAGGCTCATGAAGTTCTGTGAGATTACATGTTCAAGGTGGAGATCAAGAATACCAACAAACCACCCAAGTTTGGTTCTTAGAGGTACAGTCTGATCATTCATCAGCACTCGAGAGCTGCTCAAGTAAACCAAACTGCAGCTGGATTGAGCATGTATTCTCACAAGTCTAGTGTCTGTTGCGTTCAATTTTGTAGCATGTACTCCTTGTTAAAAAATCATTATGAAGATCAAGACGATTATTTGTTTTATTAGTCTTCATTTTCAGCCCATGTTTATTCGAGTCTGGTTCTGATTCTGGAACCAGCCTGGTTTTGAGAGGTTCCCTAAGCTTTAGTTGTAGACATGTAGCTTTCTTGAGGATTTTTGAGCATGTTGTTCTAATATGGGAGACCTTGTTAGCTATTGTTATTATGAAAAGATTTAAAGATGTTGCCAACGCGGCAATGTCCTATCAATATTCTAGTCTTGGTAATTCATTCATGTTACTCCTTCCGGCCTCTATTTCATAAATTTTCTTTCTGTATGAATTGAATTACTGTGTGGTATATAAAAAGAAGCAGAAATACTCTTTTTCAAAATAGTAGAAAGTTAGAAACTAGAAAGAACACCATATACAATTCAATGATAACATGTCTGAAATATGGATGGACTCGGGCCGGGTGGCCCGACCCGGAACCGGCCCGGGACCGGTACTGTTCCGGCCTGACCCGACCCGGTGGCCCGGTCAGTGACCAGTCCGGGTAGGCCCGGCCTGTGGGTTTTCCGGTCCGGGCTCGGGTCACCCAAAACAAGGCCTGACCCGGCCGGGCCCGGGCCCGTTTCGGGCCAAAAACTATTTTTTTTTCAATTTTTTTTAAATTTTCGGGTTGGGCTGGGTATTTTGGGCCATTTGGGGTGGTTTGGGGGGTTGGGGTGGGAGGGAGGTTAATTAGGAAGAGGAAAACAAAAAAATATATAATGGGCCCGGCCCGGCCTGGACCTGGACCGGACCCGGTGGTTACCCGGACCGGTCCCGGGTCCACCATTTCTGACCCGCCGGCCCGGACCCGGACCCGGCCCGGACCCGGCCCCGGCCCGGACCCGGACCCGGCCCCGGCCCGGCCCCGGACCCGGCCCGGACCCGGCCCCGGCCCGGACCCGGCCCCGGCCCGGACCCGGACCCGGCCCGGACCCGGGCCTAGGCCCGACCCGGACCCGGGCCTAGGCCCGACCCGGACCCAGCCCGGACCTGAGTCCATCCATAATCTGAAAAGTTGGCTTGGTAGCCTACAGCCTACTCTTAAAGATCTCTCTTATACTGGGAGGCACTTTTTAAGTTACAGTATCAACCCTACATACAAATGAAAACATACAGATTATGCAAGTCTAGAACACTGCACTTACAACTTACAAGCACAAGCTGCACAATAAATGTAAATATGGTCGAGTCTTTAAGTCCTGCGACAGCAATTTCTTTATCCATCTGCAGATTAACATTGCACTTCTTAAGTAGCCCTCCACCATTCATAAATGGTTTGCCTTCACTAAAAGACCTGCAGATTACAACGTAACTTAAAGAAGGCAGCATAATCATCCAAAGTTCACACACATTATAAAATCTTTTTAATTAAAAAAAAATCTTTCAGAAACCTCAAAGCTCAGAAAGTTTTTCTCTTCTTCAGTATAGCTGTTTCTAGATTTGAAGAGCCCAGAAGAATCATTTTCACCATCTGGACCAGAGTCAAATGCAATAAATGCAATTGATCATTGATGTAAGCACCATTTATGAAAGGCTGAAATACCTTTTTAAACATTACAAGTATGATATATTTTGTTTTAATTCACAACAAAATAATTATTTTTAATTTTGATCTCCGTAATATGCACTATTTTCTTTTTTAGATCTCTTGAACTCTGAGAGTAGTATCTCCATTTAGAAAAAAAATCAATGTTAGTTGCATAACTGTACTATAAGTTTTTTTCCATCATTTGTAACTTATTGGATTCTAATATTGGAGTTTGAACAATGCAAAACTAATCAATCAAGTTTTTAAGATGGGTTTTAAAGACAAGAAATAAAATTACATATTTTTTGAATGGTCACATGATAAAAAAGGAAAAAGGGGCAAATAAGCCCACGTACTAACAAAAAAGGTCAAATAAGCTCTAATATAGGAGGCTCTGTCCGGCCGTCGCAATTTACGGTAGTTCACGGTGAAATTTTTTGATGAAGTTTTTTGAGAATCTTATTCATTAAGTCTAGTTTACTCATACCAAATTTCAGATAACAATTCAATTGGGAAGACATTCAAATAAATTCTTGAAGATAACTGCGCTTTTAACTGCGCAGTTATCTTCAAGAATTCATTTGAATGCCTTTCTGATTGAAGTTTTAGCTGAAATTTGGTATGAGTAAACTAGACTTAATGAATAATATGCTCAAAAAATTTCATCAAACATTTCCACCGGGAACCGCCCCAAATGACGACGGCTGGACATAGCCTCCTATATAAGGGCTAATTTGACCTTTTTTGGTTAATATGTGGGCTTATTTGCCCCTTTTTTCGATAAAAAATGATTGATTATCAAACAGATGTTGTCATGATTGTTGAAAGACTAAAAAGTGATGTACCGAAATTATGTGGATGAAAAATACAAAAAAAAAACATCTGACTAAATTTAGAGGCACAGAAAATATATTTAATCCTTTTTAAAATCTCATTGTACAAAAGGACTAATACAAGGTCTTCTTGAATTGGCCGATGAGACTTCTAAGTCCTGCACAAAATAGTTTAAAGGTGAATGCCCAGAAGACACAAAAATGCAATAAAGTCTTTCCTCATAGATGCAAATAAAATGACCATACTACACTTTTGCAATGTTATATTGAAAAATGGGTTTTCATGTCGAAACTTCTCAACACAGAGAGCCCATGATGATGAAAACCAAGCCTATATTAAGCTGACAAAGGACGTAACAGAAACATGTTAATCAATACTGTTATACCGACAAGGCAACAACCAAGGAAAAATGACCTGAACACTCAAGCGAGGACATCATCACATCATCCAATGCGACAATGCAATGTCTGAAGGTCACACATTGTTTGTTTGGCTGCAGTCAAGTCTGATGGTTTCAAATCTTAAAATTCTAGAACTGGGTCATTGAAAGACCAATCGACACTTAAGAATTTAGATGATTTATTAAAGGGAGGTGATGCATTCTTCCAACGTTCACCTCATACTCTAGACAAGGTATGTTGAGCTATCGATATGTCATGGTAGAGTCAATGAATGTGGTCGAGGAGAACAACTATAAGCTACCACACCATGTAAAAAGACATAATGAGAAGAAAAGGAAGGCTACCTGTGACAATAGAGGTAGAAATGACTAATTTAGATGTCACACATTGCAAGATGTCCCAAAAATTAAGCTGCCAGCATGAATCTACTGATGAGATGCATGAGGAAGCTCAGGAGCAATTCATAAACGTTTACCCTTTTCTGATAGTACTTCTCATTCTTCTCATGCTTTTGATCTAGTTCATATGGATGTGTGGGGCCCTTTTAGAGTTCAATCTTATTCTGGTTATAAATATTTTTAACTGTTGTTGATGATTACACTAGATGTACTTGGGTTTTTCTCATGAAAACTAAATCTGAAGTCAAATTTCATATGATGAACTTCTATAATCTCATAAACACTCAGTTTCATGCAAAAAATAAGATTAATAGAACTGATAATGGTACTAAATTTATATTTCCTTCTTTTTATACTACTCATGGTATTATTCATCAACTTTCTTGTGTTGAAACTCCTCAACAAAATGCTAGGGTCGAAAGGAAACATCAACACATTCTTCAAGTTGCTAGATCTCTTCTTTTTCAATCTTGTTACCTCTTATGTTTTTGGTCTGATTGTATTCTTACTGTTATTCACATTATTAATAGAATACTTACGGTCATTCTTAACAATAAGTCTCCTTATGAATTATTAGATAACAAACCTCCTGATTGTTCTCATTTAATAGTCTTTGGATCTCTTGTTTATGCTTCTACCTTAACTGTTGTAGATCTAAATTTATTTTTATTGGTTATCCTTTAGGATCTAAAGGATATAAACTATATGATACAAATAATCACAAATTTATCTCCAGAAATGTTAAATTTTATGAAATGATTTTTCCTTATAAAAATAATACTACTTTTAAAAACAATCATACTCATTCTAGTGATACTATTCATAATGTTTTAAGTAATAATGATAACTCTTATGACTTTAACAATCTTTCTAACTATACACAAAACTTTTAGAAAATCAAATTATTGATGAAATCAATATTATCAATATGCATGATTCTCCTAATAATGATTACAGCACTTTACACACTAACAACTCTGTTCCAGAAGAACATTCCCCTAGGAGATCCACAAGAGTAAGGTCTTTTCCTATACATCTTCAAGATTATACTTATGAATTGCCTAGTTCCATTACTTCAGGTATACATACTTCTTCTTCCTCTTGTAATTCTGTTAGATATCCTATTCAGAATTATATTACATATAATAGATTAAGTACTTCTCAATCTTGTTTTACTGCTGCTCTTTCTAAAATAACTGAACCTAAGACCTATAATCAAGCTGCTAAATTCCCTGAATGGCAGGATGCTATGAAAACTGAAATCCAAGCACTTGAGAAAAATAACACTTGGGTTCTTGTTAATCCTCCTCCTAATCAGAATGTTATTGGATGTAAATGGGTTTTTAAAACTAAGTTAAAACCTGATGGTTCTTTAGAAAGATACAAAGCTAGATTAGTTGCTAAAGGTTATACTCAGGAAGAAGGCGTTGACTATTTTGATACTTTTTCCCCTGTTGTGAAACTCACCATTGTCAAGATCATTTTAGCCATTGCTAGTGCTAAAAACTGTTTTTTACATCAATTAGATGTAAATAATGCTTTTTTACATGGTGATTTAAATGAAAATATTTTTATGCAGCCTCCTCCAGGTTATTTGGCTCCTGATGATAATAGAATTTGCAAATGAGTCAAAAGCCTGTATGGACTTAAACAGGCTTCTAGACAGTAATTTTGTAAGCTTTCTGATTCTCTCAAATTATTTGGCTACACACAGTCTCAAGCTGATTTTTCTTTGTTTATTAAGAACACTAATTGCTCTGTCACTGTTCTTTTAGTATATGTAGATGATATTATTCTTGCTAGAAACAGTATAGAAGAAATCAATGCAGTAAAAACTTTTTTAAACAATAATTCACTATTAAAGACATTGGAGAATTAAAATACATCTTAGGTATTGAAATTGCCAGATCTGATAAAGGTCTCAATTTATTCCAAAGAAAATACACTCTGGATATTCTAAATGAGTATGGTTATCTTGATTCTAAACCTTATACTACTCCAATGGACTCAAAAATAAAATTTTCTAAAAATAATGGAACCGTTTTAGACAACCCTAAAATTTACAGAACTTTAATTGGAAAATTACTTTATCTAACTGTCACTAGACCTGATATAGCTTACAGTGTTCAAGTTCTTAGTCAATTTCTTGCTTTTCCCACTAACATTCATATGAGTGCAACTCATAGAGTTTTAAGATATCTTAAACATTCTCCGGGTAAAGGTCTTTTCTATTCTTTTAGTTCCGATTTTTATGTTCAAGGGTTTACTGATTCAGACTGGGCTTCTTGCATAGACACTAGAAGAAGTGTCTCAGGTTATGCCTTTTATATTGGCAACTCCTTGATTTCTTGGAAATCCAAGAAACAACAAGTTGTTAGTAGATCTTCTACTGAAGCCGAATATAGAGCAGCTGCAAATGCAGTCTGTGAAGCCTAGTGATTATACTATATTCTTAAAGAATTACATATACAATTTTCTTTACCCATTGTTATATATACTGATAATAAATCCACATATGATCTTGCTCATAATCCCATTCAACACCAAAGAACCAAACATATTGAATTAGATTGTCACTTAATTAGGGAGAAAATAAATTATGGTTTGATTACTTTAAAACATATTAAGAATGATTTTCAACTTGCAGATATATATATACAAAAGCTCTTGGAAATCCATTATTCAAACAATTTGCGGTCAAGATGAACATGATGGACATACATGCTCCTCTTGACGGGGCGTATCAAGACTAATTGCTCTGGACTGTGGATATTAATTTTACTTGGACTTCACATTAGCTTTTGGGCATATTTGTATTCTGCTTATATATTAGACAGGCCCATTCGTATTTAGTATAAATTAGACTGAACAGTTGTAAATTAGGTATCCAAAACATTTTTCTTTCTTCTTCTTCCGCTTACATGCTCTGAATCATACGTTCTGTTGCTCTTCTTCTTCGATTCTTCTTAGAATCTTGGAGTTTAAACATTAACATAAATTTCCTAAAATAAAAAAAAATCTCCACCTATTTTACGAGATAATTAAAAAATTGAATACATGAATTCCCTATAATTTTATAGATTATGCCATCTGTTTTCCAAAACTGATAAAAATTCTATCAGAGGTATTGTGGGATTTTACAAAAAAAATGCAATTTTACAAAAGTGATAAACCCATGAAGAATTTTCTCATCACTTTTCATTATCCGGTCTTTCTCCAATTTTCTAAAACCGGTTTCTAGAAGCAATTTGAAACATTTAGAAATACTTTTGCACTTCCATCCAAATATTTCAATATCTGTTTTTACTCCCGAAAAGGAATAGAAGCATTTTAAAAAGTAGATCCAAATTCCCCTTAGTCACATGATTATGAAAAACCTATTTTTTTCATTAGGTGTAAATACACAAATATATCTATGCAAAACTAAGGCAACCAAGTATCCAATAATCATATTAATGTATACATTGAGTGCATGCTATTGTATCCAACAATCATATTAAAGCATCCAACAATCATATTAATACATACTTTTTAGATGATTTGAGTCCAATTCCTTACAAATCCAATAATAAGTTCAAAAAAATGAAAGTCCAATTGAGAAAACGAACGAAACGAGTGAAGAATCCAGAAGAGAGGCTGAAAATCATTGGAGAATTTGTTTACAATTTTAAAGCTTATAACTTATCATTGGAGCATAGTTTTTCCTTTGCTTGAGAACGTTAATTAGTCAAAAGGACCTATTAGCTTGAAGAAAGAGAACTATTAAATATAGTATTATTAATAATAAATGAAGAGGAAGAAGTCACGACTAATCATTACAGTACATTTTTTTAAAAAAATAGTTTTACCGTGAATGCTTATGTGGCAAGTCAAACTATAAGGACAATTGGCTAACCGCTAAAAATGCTCTTAGGAAGATATCGAATTTATTGTTCTTAGATTATCTCGAGCAATTAGCTAATTACCCTTATGCCTTGACTAGCCACATAAGCATTTGCAGCAAAATTAAGATGTATTCCAATGGTTAGTTATAACTTCTTCCTCTTCATTTATTATTATTATTGTTATTATTGTATTTATGAATTCTCTATGGTCAAGCTAGTAGCTTATTTGGGCTAATTAGTTTATTCAAACAAAAGAGAAAGTAATGCTCCAGTGATAAGATATTAGCTTTAAAAATGCAACTTTTAACTATGCATTCTAATTTAGAGAAATTTGAGCGCTTGAAAGTTAGATATTCAATGGGAATTTCAAGATCTTCAAACCTAACCTATCTTGTTCTTTCTTATCTCTCTCCTTCAAAAGAAAAAAAATAACAAATACATATAACAAGAAAAGAAGACATCAAAACATTTTTTAAAAACCGTGCAAAGAAAAACAAAAGAGAACATTGAAGAACAAAAAATATAGCTAAAAGAAAGGATTGGAGAAAAAAGAGAGAAATTGGAAAGAAAGAGGAGGATGCTCACAAAAAAAAGTTTAAAAAAATAAGAAGCACAAAATAGAATTTTAAATAAATCCACATGGTAGCGACACAAGCAAGGTAGTAGGGAAATAGGCAATTGAGCCTCCAAATGGTCATTCATATTTTTTAAATAAATAAACAGTTTTTTTCAAAAGTATTATTAAAACAAAACTTATATACACAAATATAACTAATAATTTCTACGTATAATGTAGTGTTATGATAACTTAAATTTAAAAAATGAATATAATTTAGTATGATTTCATTACTACTCTAGTCACTAGTCACATTTTAAACAAATTTTATTTTAATCATAAATGTCTAATTAATGATATTGGTATGAGAATTCAATGATTTTCTTGTAATATTATGAGGATCTACATGATAGTTTTTCTTTCGAATTTTACACATTGTATACCAAAAAAGTATGAGAAAATAAACTCCCTAATAACTGTGCAATTCGTCTTGGTTGACATCCTTTTTTCAAGGTCGATATTTAGTATTGTATACAAAATTTGGATACATGGAATGAATAGTAAACGCTCCTCTTAATATGAATTAAGGTCCTTATTTTCTCTGAAACCCCGACAACAAGCTAAAAACATGGCCTGTCCAAAATAAAAAATAATTCTGTCATTTATTTTGTGTGGATATAGGGAAAATACGAATATGTAATTATTATGTAAGAACTTAATAGCGAAATTCAGGGATATTATGAATAATGGGTGGGATGTTGGGGACTTCGTGTGTAGGAGGTGAAGGCTTTGTAGACTCATAATATATCCACTTGATCATCTTCAGGTGTGTAAGTGTAAGTAACCCTGTGATCATATCTACCTTTAGGGTGCAAATTGGGACTGTATTTATCTGTTGATCTGGTTCCTGCACACAAAGTTCACACTTCAATGACACAAAAGTTCTATTTCGGATAATATTCTCTTGTCCTAATTTCCGTTCATCATCCGCTCTTTTTTTACATTTACTTGGATAATATTTATTATACCCAAAAGTTATGAAGGTATTTGTTCTTCAATTGATTGCTCCTTTAAAACACCTTGCCAAAAGCGAAACTCTATCAATGTACACTATAAAATTGATATAACGTATATTCAAATTGAATTATTATTAGCTTATTATATCATATATTATCATTTAATTCACAGATTTATCTTATTACTTACTTCGTACTACGTATTTGTTTTTAAAAAAGACTCAAATTTCATTTTTTAACAATTATACTTTTCATCCATGATTTGTTATAAATTACCGAGTGTAAGTTTAATTAAGTTACGGAGTATAAATTTTATATACTAGTATTGAATTATATCATAAGTATTACGAAGTATTTTTTAATTATTTAATTTTATTTTTCTTTATGATTTATTCAAGAACTTAAATGAAATAATGAAAAATAATAATTTAGGTATTAATCTATAACTGAATATGATTCTGAAAACTTAATGATTAATATTAAATTATTTTCGACTAACCCATGAACTAACCAGCTGATACCTTAACGGTATGTAACATTTTTGCGTTCTAGTTATATTTCATAAGTTTTCACACAATATTTTGATTAGTCTCAAGTAATTTACTAGTTTTTCATAAAACGGGCTGGTTTAAATGTTTAATTGATGCTTAAGGGCGGAGATAAAAATTTACCATGTCTAATACCGCTTCCTTTGGAGAATTGGAGGTAGACTTAAGTGGGAACATATTCGAGTGGACGAATGTGTTGCCTCCGGAGTTTGATTTGGGTGGCTCCGCAGCGATCGTGTTGAGGCATGTTTGGCTAACACAGTCAAGAATGTTTCCTAAACCATAAAAAATTGCACATTCACAATAATGCCCTTGTTCAAATAAAAAAATTAAAAAAATCTGCAAAATTACTCAGAATAGAACATGCATGTGAATATTGTGAAATTTAAGATGTTACACTCATTTAAAGGGCAACATACTTTTTGGAGCATTCAGCACATCATACAAAGAACTCATGCATGTCGAGATATGAGTATTAAACTATTAATTAACCAATTTGGCAAAATAATTACAATGATGCACCTCTCATCAATTTAGTATTATCATTTTGAACATAATATATACTAGTATATATCGGTCAAGCATTACTATACAAAGCATGTGTATTTGTTTCTCATGTGTAATTTCATCATAACTTTATTGTAATTAATAACTTTAGCGACACAAATTAAGAGCCCGTTTGGTAACACAAAAATCCGCTGATTTGGCTGATTCTGCTGAAATTTATGAAGTTCTGGCTAAAGTGGCTGCATTGGCTGATTCTGCTGATTTAAGAAAAAAATACTTTTAAAATATATTTTATTAATAAAATAAAGAAAAAATTATATGTAAAAATAGCTAAAATGGTCATCTATAGTAACTTCAGCCAATACAGTCAGAAAAGTAACTTCAACCTTACTTTTTCTGCTTATTACACAATTCAGCGCGCGAAAGCAAAAGTTACGTGTTTGCTGAAAAAGTTAGTTGATAAACTTGATAAGCCGATAAACAGTGTTACCAAACGGCCTCTAAATGTTTTAATCAATATATGTTGATTACCTTTTGTTCCGAGCAGTGTAGCACCAAGAAAGAGGAGCAGGACACCCAACACAAGAGCCTTCATCTCTTCTAATCTTCTTTAATTTTGTTAATCTCTTTTAAACCAATCTAGCTCGTGTACGTAGTATATACTTCCTCCGGTTCTTATTTAAGTTCCCAGTTTGACTTCACACATATTAAGAAAATGAATTTGACTTTACTGTGGAGTGCACTGTTTGGCACTGTTTGGCACTGTTTGGACACTGTTTGGCACTGTTTTACACTGTTTTGCACTGTTTTGTTTCCTAAAATGGAAGTGTGAATTTAAATAAGGGACATCCCAAAAAGGAAAGTGGGAACTTTAATAAGAACCGGAGGGAGTATATATATATATATATATATATATATAATACACGGAAATTATTTTTATTTATTTATAGTACTATACTACCGTATCATGCACCATGATTTCATCATATCATATTGGTAGTAATACCCAAAATAGCATGTATATATATGTACTCCGTATAAATTAAATGTGTGTATTATGCTACTACTGTATCATGATTGATTTCACTAGATTGGTAAGAACCAAAAATAATATACACATTCACTTTTAGTATACAGATGTAACGCCTAGTACTAAAATTCAATAGGACTAAATAGATTTTAGAATTCTAAAATCTATTAAAAAATATTACCATTAATGTCAGTAAATATTGTCATGTTAATGCCTAGTACTGCAAGTCTGCAACTATATATTTGACAGTAATGTCTCCAAGATAGCAATATATAATGTCATGTTACTCCTATTTTGAGAAGAAAAACATAACGGTTCTATTTTGAAATTAAATTCCAAAACCTATTTACTCATATTTCAGGAACTTTCTCGACTAAAATTTTCTAGTCTTATTTGAGTATGGT